CAGCGGCCCCCCGGCCAGCCCCCGCTGGCCCGCCGCGGCCGTCAAGGGGCACCGGTCCTGCGCCCCCCGCTCCCGGTGCCAGACCTACCTGCCACGGCTGCCCCTGAGGAGGAGGACCTGCCCCGCTCCGCAGAGCAGCCAGGGCCCCGGCTACGTCCGCGTGGCCCCCGCGCGCGGGGCAGTCGGACACGGGCCCGAGGCCCTGCTCGGAGCCGCAGGGCCGCCAACCCCTGAGTCCCTCCTGCTTGGGCTTCCTCACCTGGTGTTTCTCCTGCCCCTCGGGACCCTTTTTCTTCCCCCCCTGGTGCACATGTAAATAGTTTTTGTGCCTTTCGGGCGTGGGTTTGTACCCGGGGGGGTTGGGTGAATGGTGGTGGGGTGGTGGAGGGTTTTGCCTGGGGTACCGTGGGCATGTTGGGTTGTTGGTATTGGGGAGAAGGAGGGTGAATAAAGTTGCTTTTGATTTTGCTATAGCCACGCTACCTATGTTGTTGTGGCCCTGGATGGAGACCTCTGGGTCGTGTCCTGGTGCTGGTGGTAAGAAGACCGGTGTCCTACCCAGGGGTGCCGCAGGTGGGCAGCCCTGGCGTCACAGTCCAGCTCCCACGTGCTGCTGCCGGAGCGGTTGTCCTCGCCTGCAGTACAGTTCCTGGCTGACCCGCAAGCCTGCTCTGGGCGCAGAGACCTCTCCCCAAGACTCGCACTTCTTATGCAGGACACGCGCTGCGGTGATGAGTGGGCTATGTGCTGCAGTGCTGCCTCCGGTCAGCTGACTCTGGCCCCAGACCAGGCTGCCTGGATGCAGTGGTGCTGCTGCTGGCAGCTGGCCCAGAGGTGCCGGCGTCTCTGCTGGAGCAACTGGACCATAGCCCAGGTGCCTGTGCAGTCCCCGTCTGGGACCGGCAGGCACGCAGCCGTAGGGCCGCAGGTCCGAGGGGGTGGACGCTGTTGCAGGTGGCCGGAGGTTGCAGCCAGGCAGCAGGGACTGCTGCCACACTGCTGCAGTGGGTGCAGGGTGCAGGGGCCACTGCTGCAGCAGTCCAGCTGGCGCAGGGGAGAAGCTCCTGAGAGCAAACAGCCTATAGCTGCTCACCAGGGCAGCTTTTTATACTGCTGGGGCCACACAGCCAAATGCCAGCGAGGAGAACAGCATCCGAAGGCATCTGGAGGTTTGGGTAGGAGCTAAGGGGATGGAGGAGGTTCCTGGGGACCGGTTGGAGATGAACCCTGAGAAGAGAGCTGTGAGTCTGTGGGTGTATTGAGGGGCCAGGTGAGCCCTGAGAGAGGGGCTGAGTGTTTAGGAGACCTATTGAAGGGTCTGGGTGAAGCCAGTGAGTGGGGGCAGAGTATGGGGGGTTTATTGAGGGGCCCATAGGAGCCTAGAGAAGGAAGGGGCTGTGTTAGCAAAGACTATGGGGGGCTCCCAGTGAGCTCGGAGAGAGGGAGCGATCTATAGAGGAGGCTGAAACCGTGAACCCACGGAGAAGAGAGGGCGGGGGACTGACCCTGGGTATCTCAACTGGCCCGTGCCAGGCCAGGAACGGAGCAGGCGAGAGACTCGGGACACAAGTGTGGTGAAATGGAGACAGTGTCCGTTCAAGGATGATGATAACATTTTGCAGCCCGGGCTGATTGAGACACAAACAAAGGGGCTTATTGTACGGGGACGAATGTGAGAAGGGGGGAAAAGACCACCCGTCCAGCTCTACCTCTCTAGGACTCTAAGAGACTATCCACGATGCCAAAAGGGACTTTTGCAAAGGTCCCTGCCTTGGTCAGGAGATGCCAACAGAGCTGAGCAGTGAAGCCGAGGTACGCCCAGCTCTCCGGGTAGAAGGGCTGGAAAAGGAAGACTTAAGAAAGGGAACATAGCTCCAAGCTTCAAACCCACAAGTAATTGCAGTCAGTCCCCACTCCCCATTGCTCCCTGCTCCATCCCTATTTGTGGGCTGGGGAAGCAGTCCTAGTGTATTGGGATGGAGAACCACTGGCTAGGAGGGGTCTGGAGGTACAGGGATGAGACTGCAATGCTCCCCTCTGCCCTCCCTGGATGAGTGCCTGCCCCAGGGGTGGCAGGGAAAGGGTTAAGTTGTGTGTGTGGGGGGGGGAGGAGAGGGGTGTTTCACACACACATACACATTCCTCACCCCTCATTTTGCAACCATTGCCGCCTGTCTATGAGTCTGTCTGTCTCTGTGTGCATGTATGAGCCTGTGTGCATGTGAGCCTGTGTTGGTGTGAGCCCGCCTATGCCTTGATGCATGTCTGTGGGACTTTGTGTGTGTATTCCTGTGTGTGCCTGTTCCTATTTGTGTCTGTGCGAGCCAGCAGCAGACAAGGCTCTTGGAGTAAATCCAATACCTTTTATTAGACCAGTTCAAACAGCTGGAAACTTTTCTTCTTTGCAAGCTTTCAGGTACAAACACCCCTCGTCAGGCTGAGGAAGTGTGTGCAGTGGACGCCAGTGTACATTTATCGATGTGAGCCTGTGTCTTCCTATGTGTGTGCCCATGCCCGAGTGTGCCTGTGTGCGGCTGCGTGTGCCTCTCCCATGTCTGTGCCTGCCTGTGTGCACATATGTACGAGCGTGCATGCGTGCAGGTGTGCATGCGTGCATCTCTCTCTTTCAAAAGCTTTTTATGGGTAAAGCTTACCTCTCAGATGCTGTGAAAGGATCCACTGAACTCTCTCCGAGCTCACTGGGAGCCTGGACTCCTGGCAGCCCTGGGCAAACATTTAGTATCGGGACCCCTCTTTGCCAGAGATAACGATGTTGATAATAATTGGACAACACAAAGAAAAAACAACCATTTTTGGGCCCCCTTTCTGTCTGACCATGCCTGTGTCCAGCCCCGCTAGCTAACTAGCTCGGTGTTGCCAGCTCTCGTGATTTTGTTTGGCGTTGTTCTTGAAGTCTGTGCTTTGGGGATGTTAAAAAGACTTTGCTCTTTCATTATCTATATAGATATCTATATAAATATCTATCTATCTATCTATCTATCTATATCTATATATCTATCTCTATATAGATATCTATCTATATTGATGTAGAGATATATCTCTCTATCTCTATATAGATAGAGAGATATAGATATTTAGATAGCTCAATTGATCTATTGATCTGAAAAGTAAAATATATATAAAAGCAAGAGCTACGCGGGTTGTTTTTTTTCACATGCCCAAAGTGCAGATTTTAAGAACAATGCTGAAAATCATGAGAGTTGGAAACACTGCATCTCCCTGGGTGGAAATGCACATCCCTAGATAGATGCATGCGGATGCAGGGGCGGCTGCTTGCACGGCCTAGGGGACGGGGAGGTCTGTGCTGCCCCAGCCCCGCCAGGCTCTGCCCCTTCCCCGTGGCTGCGGCTGCTGCTCCCTGTCCCCGCGCCGCCTCCAGGCTGCAGCTGCTGCCGGGTGCCAGCCGGGCCGGGGTGGAGCTGCAGCAGGACGTGATGCTGCCTCCAAGTCCAGCCTCTTCCTCTCCCTTTCCTGGCTGTGGAGGCCTGCGGGTGGGGAGTGAGGGGCACCGCTGCCCAGGGGCTGCGGGTGGGGAGTGAGGGGCACCGGTAGGGCTGGCGGGGTGGGCAGGGGCTGCAGGTGGGGAGCGAGGGGCATGGGGCTGGGCGGTGCTCGGGGTGCAACCCAGTCCCTGCACCCCATGCGGGGCAGGACCCCTGCGGCCCCTCGGTGCCGCAGCGGCGGGGGGGGGGCCGTCACACACTAATACCCACTGTCTCCTTCTTGCAGGCGGCAGCCCCGACACCCAGAGGAGATGGCTGCGGAGCTGGAGCCGGCCTCAGCCGCGGGCTTCCCCTTCCCGGCGCCGGTGCAGCCCGTGGTGAAGGTGGAGGAGCAAGACCCCACGGACCCTGAGCCCTGGGTGGGAGCCGAGAGAGCAGGGAACGCCCCTTGTGTTGTCCGGGCGTCCCCGAGATGCCCGGCAGCCCCCGTGGTCAAGCAGGAGCCCGTGGAGGAGCCCATCCTGTGCTGGCGGGTGAGCGTCTCTGTGCTGGGGCATGGTGCCGAGCATGGCTCTGGGGTCGGGTCTCTGCTCCGAGGCTTAAGGGGCCGCGGGAGATTTGCACCCACCTGCGGGAGCTCTGCAAGCGCTGGCTGGAGCGAGGAGCAGATGCTGGAGCAGGTGGTGCTGGAGCAGGTCCTGGCCGTCCTGCAGAGCTGGGCGTGGGGGCGCGATGTGGAGACCTGTGCCGAGGCTGTGACTCTGGCCGAGGGGCTTTGGCTGGGGCTTGCGGAGGACAGGACACCCCAAATGAGTGTCATGCTTGCATCTATGCTCCTCTTGATCTCCGTGTGTCTGGGGATGTTCCCTCCCAACCCCGTCTCTGCCAGCTCCCAGTGACGTGCTTGTCTTGTCCCCAGGTCACGGGGAATGGGCAGCTCAAGGAGGGACCCGAGGCACTGGCAGGGTTTTTCTGCTCCGGGCTGGGGCAGGCCCCGCCCCC